ATACGCAGCAACTGTCTCCATTAGGGCAAAAAAGAAAATTTTGAAAAAAGAAGAAATTTATTCCCAGAAATGTCATCAAAAAGTGTCTACGAAACAGTCAAAAGAATGACACCGGAACTAGCAGGATACAAGGAACGAAAGATATTCAGTGGAGAGGAAGTACAGAAGATAATGGAAGCAAGAAAGAGATACGAGATGAGATTGCAGAGGACGAAGAAGAATGTGGCTGATTTCATAAATTACGTTAATAGTGAAATGAAACTGCTTAAGAAACGAAATAAAATAATAGAAAAGAAGTCGATAATGAGAGAAGACACTGATAAGATGCTTGAAACCAACATTCTACACATCTACATGAGAGGATTCAGGCATTTTGATGACTCAAAAATGTTCAAACAATTTGGTGAATTCTGTGTAAAGCACAATTTCATTGAGGAAATGAAGAGTGTTTTTGAAAGGCAGCTGTTGATGCATTCAAAGGATGTGGAATATTGGCTCTATTGCACAAGGCAGTTTAAACAGATTGAGGACATTGAAAGTGCAAGGAATACGCTGTTAAGAGGATTGGATGTTGTTGAAGACAAGAATGAGCTCTATGTGGAATTCTTCAAGACAGAAGTTGAATATGCTGCAAAATTGATGAGATTCAATAGAGAAATGGGCGTAGCAGAAGAAGACTACGGGCGTGTTGAAAGAGGAGAAATCGCACTTGATTTCTTCAGGGAAATTGCTGCAAATTGCACGAATGTTGAGGTGGCACAGTCTCTGAAAATTAGCAAAACACTTCCTGGGCTGACTCAGAAAATCAAGGCCATTTTGCATGAATAAAAGTGAACAAAAATACCCCCATTTTGATGACTAAGAAGTTTGATAATTTTAGCATTTTATTGAAGGAAATCATGGATGAGGAGAGCAGTGGATGTGACGAATCACTTGATAATGATATTCTGTGTATAGAGAGCAAAGAAGCCGAAGAAACAGAGCAAATCTATGAAGCATGTGAAGAAGTAGAAAACCACCAAAATATGGCTAAGTGTGATCTAAAGAATATAGCTCCTGGAACTGTTCTGACAATCGAAAATGGCGAAATCAAACTGGAGAATACACTAAAGAAGACTCCGGTGGAAACTAAGAGCAGAACCAATAACTATTACACAAGTGAAGAATTATCAAATATGAAAATAGAGAAACGTAAGGACAATAGCAAGATAATAAACGTGAACAAGAAGAAGAGAAAGATAAGACCATGCCGAAACTACGATGATTAAACTGATTTAGAAAGCGCATTGTCTTCTAATGAATTGTGTGCGTTACTGTTTTTAGCCCATAAATGACTAATGCAAAAAGTGACCCACAACATAAACCACTTCCTGTAAACAGATACGTGATATTCAGAACAAATAACGCATTCTACGAAGGAAGAATAGTCGATGTGCTCTTTGATGGACAAAAGACCCTTTATAGCGTGATATCATTTGCAACTTTTGAGTATTTCAGAGTCACTGATTGCGAACTGGTTACGCAGAGCTCTTTGGAGTCAAAGAGGAAGTACAGGCCGAGTTCAGATTGCGGCAACTTCAACGTGGTGCGGATGCCAAATGTTCTGAAAAACAGGCTTCGTGCTGATAAGGATTCTTGCATGGTGAGCTATTACAACAGCACCAGTAGAAAACATCCAGTCAAAATATCAGTTCGTAGAATTATACAGGAATTCATGCAATTCTTCCAGCAGAATTCACTATGCTACGACTCCAACGAGGCACAGGAGATCATGAATGGATTTCATCAACTATTCAACACATTTCTGCCTATGACACTGCTCTACGAGCAAGAGAAGCGGTTTCTGATGGAAAAAGACAACTTAGCTATGAAAGAAGACTATACAGGTGATTTTGGTCCAATTCACCTGTTAAGAATGCTCTATTTTGTACAAAGATACAACGCCAAGTTCAATCCTCGCGAATGCGTCCAGCTGGTTACTTCTGATTATACTGTATATTTGATTGACTTCCTGAACTACAAATACCAGGATTATTTCATGTAGTGATTAAATCAGACATTTTACCCATAAAATGCTTGATAAATTACAAGTCTCAGTTTTGTGTGAAAGAGTGATACGGAATCCAGAGAGCAACTTGAATGCGCTTGATAAACTGGATTATTCTGATGAATTGAATGGATTGGCTGTAGCGAAAGTATTTGCTTCAATCTGTCCACTTTATAAAATACGAATTGGTTCTGATAAAATTAAGCACAAAAATGCAGATAATGCCGTGGAACAGTTTGACAGACAACTGCTGTCATCGTACAATGCATTTCTGATAAAGACACTCAAAAGCAAGGAGGCGTTCTCCTACAAAATAGCATCATACTTGTTAGAGGAATTGGATCACTTTAATTTTAATGACAGGCTCGTTATGAAAGTGTTGCTTGGATTACGAGTTGAAAGTGTTAGGAAAATATGTATTGGTGTCCTATGTAGCAGAATTGAGGAAGATAACAACGGTGAAACCATTTGGTTGATACTGGATCATGCCTTAGACTATGGAATAGACTACGAAGTGTTGAATGCACTGCTCAAGAGCAAGTATTTGGCTAAATGTGTACAAATAAAGCACGAGAAAGAGACCAAATACGAGAAGAAGGTGTACACGAAAGAGAAGACCAAGAAGGATCCATTTTATAACAAGAAGAAACTACGAGGAATAAGCAAAAAGGAAGAGAAGACAAGATGCAAGAAGGAGAAGGAGACAAAGGCAGAGGAAGGAGAGGTGTTGGATGGAATTGATAACAAGATTTATGTCAGAACAAGGAATGCCTTACAGCGAATTTACTTCACAATTCTGAAAGAGAAGAAGACCAAATGCATAGAGGCAGTTTGTAAAGGATTGTGCAAATATTTCACACTAGTAAACAGGGAGTTCTACGAAGGACTACTCTACCTGTTTACAGAGAATTTGGTAACGAGATGTGAGAGTAGGAGAGACGTAATCAACAACATTGAAATAGTTAAGACAATTTACGAAGTATTCAAGTCACAGGGCATTGATTTTGGTAAAATAAGCGAATACTTCCTGAATATGCTGGAAATTGATACACAGATGCACGTCACCGTTGAACAGTTCGATAACGAGTTCGTTGGGGTGCTCCGACTCATCTTCCTCGAAAACAGGCAACAAAACGGGGTTGTTCTGAAAATGCTCAAAAAACTGGTTGGACTGAGCATATGCAGATATCTGCCAGTTGTAACTGGATTTATCAAGGAAGTAGAAATCAAATACGACATCGACATCAAAGAACACTACAAACAGACTGATTGTGAGACCAATTTCGCGTATTTCCTCATGAAATCATTTCCATGAGAATCAGTTGACCTGTTTGATTTCGAGCATGAAGTCCTCGATAAAGGAAGGAATGACTTCGCCCTGTTCTGCCACAACTCGCTTGGAAATGTCCACGTTGTAGTATCGCTCCTTTGTGGTTGAAGCCAACGTAAGTTGTACGTTGTTTATTCCAGTCACAACTCCACCATCAGACCACAGGTTGCTCAAATGGCACCTGCCCTTTTTGACAGGATGCACTGAAAGCGGATTCTCCCCATTCACGTCCTCAACCACAATGAAATCCTCTGGTTCAGTTATTTTCAGGTTGATTTCAGTCCCACATTCGCAACTCATCGTCACGTTGTAGCTCGCTGACTTCTTGCTGCTTATCTTGTGCGACACCTTCCTGTGGTTGTCCACTCGCAGCCCGTTCTTCTTCTTCCCGCACTTCCCACACTCCAATTCAACCTCGTATCGCTGAATCAGCAGACACCCTTCCACTTTGTTGAAGCTACCTGTTGCATAAACCTCGAAGTTCATTGGGTCAAAAATTCAAACAAAGAAGCCCAAAATGAGTGAGAAATTGTTTAGGGAGTATTTTAAGGAGCTTAGAAGGGTGTCAGAGTACAGGAAGAATAGAAAGAAGCTTCTTAACATGATATTCTGGGAGTACGAGAACTACAACATGGATAAGTTTGAGGACAGAGATGCAAAAATATACAAAATAATCAGCGAGAAGAAGAACTACCCGAATTCATTTCTGGGGTCGTCATTGGGCTTCACGAAGTCAACGATGGATTCGAGATACCAGGAGGTGTTGAACAAGTTCAGGCTGGACAAGAGGCCTCAGGTGGCATCTCCAAGAAACTGTCTTGAATTTGAGAAGCTGAAGTTTCTGCTAGTGAAATTGTTTGAATTCAAAAAGAAGAAGAAATGAATTTGTTCGATAAAAATTTACAATTTGACCCCACAATGGCAAAGACGAATTTGAACAAGAAGACTGAATTGAATGAGAAGGAAAGGAAGGAGGCTCTGGACAAAATAATGAAGCACAGGTTCTTTGTGACTCAGACTGGATATCCACCACAGAATGGATTTCTGGAATATGGGCCAGTTTTGACAGCAATGAAAAATGAGATGATCAATATGTGGCGTAGGATTGTGGTGGATGAGGAGATGATGGAGATAGATACAAGTGTAATGGTGCCATACGATGTACTGAAAGCAAGTGGACACATCGACAAGTTCTGTGACGTGGTTCTGACAGATGGAATTACAACAGTAAGGGCAGACCATTTTATTGAGGAAAAGGCAGGAGAACACTTCATGGTTCCACAGAGCTGTACAAGAGAGGCAGTGGAGCGTGTGAAGCAGTTGAAGCACGAGATGATGAATCAGAAAACGATAGAAAATAAGTTAAAGAGCATAAAACTAAACAAATTCAAACAATTTGACAAGAAGAAAGTAGAACTAATTACAAGCAAGTTTGACACCGTCAGAAAGCATCTAAGTGATTGCAATAAGGATGAAATTGACTTCATCGTGCAGTCACACAATCTCACGACAGAAACAGGTGAGTTTATGCCTGCTAAGGATTTCAACCTCATTTTTAAGCTTAATGATGGTCAATTTTTGCGACCTGAATTGGCTCAGGGCATTTTTGCCAATTTCAGTAAGGAATATGTCTTCAACAACGGACAGATGCCATTTGCATGCTACACCATCGGCAAATCGTACAGAAATGAGATATCTGCGAGAGGCGGAATGTTCAGAACCAAAGAGTTCTACCAGGCTGAAATCGAATACTACACTGAAGATGGCTCACACGCTGATTTTGATTATGTCATCAATAATAAGCTGACTCTTCTACCAAATGCAGTTGAAACACCATTCGAGATGAATCTGAAAGATGCCTACTCCAAGAAGATCATTTCTTCTCAAGCAATCTGCGTATTCATTTCCAGGTGCCACATTTTCATCACTGAAATTGGAATTGATCTCAGTCGTGTCAGGTACAGACAGCATCACGTCTGTGAAATGGCCACTACGCCAATGACTGTTGGGACCTGGAAATTCAGACTTCTGGTGGCTGGGTTGAATGTGCTGGAATTGCAGACAGATCCAATTACGATCTCACAGTTCACTCCAAGTCAATCAACTCGTACGTCAAGAAGGCAATCAGTCCAATCACCACTTTTGAGTTGAGTTTCAATAAGAAGGCTGTGATCAAAGACCTGAGAGAGAAGTTGGCTGATTTCACCCTAAAAATCAAACAAATTCCACTTGATGAATTCAAGAACAAAACCACCTACAAATTCACCTATGAAAACAAGGTGTACGATTTGGATGTGATTGAAAAGAGAATTGAGCAGACTGAATACATTCCCAATGTGATTGAGCCATCATTTGGAATCAGTAGAATTCTGTATGCACTGATTGAACACTCCATGGAGTTCTACGAGGAGAGGGCTGTCTTAGATGTGATACCAGAAATGGCATACAAACA